ATTTTTGAAAGATGTGTGATTAAATTTTTTTTGATTTATGTGTAAAATATTTTATTATATGAATGTATAATTGAAAATGATTATGAAAAATAAATTAAAGTAAAAAAAATAAATCAAAATGAGGCTCATACTCTTCACATTTAGTAAACCAATTGAATCGATTGGAAATCATTTTCCATAAATATCTCTATTGTTATTTTAGCAAGTTGTGCATGCTTAAACTCTATTTGGTTTAGTTAAATTTAAGCACATGTTTTATAAGATTCACTACTTCTCAACCATACATTCTATAAACTTTTATTGAAATATAGCTCTTGTTTAGTCTATGTTTTATCCAAAATATATTTCTCTTCCCCTCATTTTTTTAACTGTACGTTCTTTAATAAAATAATATTATACATAAATTCAAAACTTTTTATTCTTTTTAAATCACCCATTCTTCAAAAAATCATTATTTCAAAATACATTTTTCTCCCAAAACACATTTTAATGTAGCCCAAACAAGAGCATATTAGAAATCTAGTTTTTATATAAATCAAACAGAAATAACTAAACTTTGAATTTTCGCCGTGTAAAAGAAATGGTTATCGATAGTATATTTATTAATTTTTCTATAGAGAATTAATTTTATCTAAATTTACGAATTATGTTAAGATTATAAATTATTACCACTTTACTTTTTAATGCTGAAAATAATATCTTCTCCAAGTACAATAGTTAATAAGGTCACGTGGGTATATAGTTCTGGACATGTTTGCCATGTGATATAAATCAAAAATCAAAATTGATGTCGGCCAAACATTATCTTTTGACTTTCTTTAGTGACTACTATTGGAATGCTGACATTGATTGATACACTTTTCTAATTCTTACATCCTAATCAATGAACAAATAATATCATAATTTGTATACCATCATTTGAACATTTTTGTGCAACATTTGTTTCTAAAAATCTCCTGGAAAACAAAATAATCCTTGTTGGGTCGTGTTAGAAAGTTGCTAATAAATCGTATATATTGTAACGTGATATTTATGTTACATTTAAAGTATTGTTTATTGATTATTATTCGAGAATTATCTGTCGTGCTTAAATCGCTAATGAAAAGGCAAGAAAATTTTGAACCACAAAGATTTGACGTTGATGGAGCTTCTATTTATGCTATATTCTTTTTAATGCATTGTTTGCAAGTAAAAACATCAAGAAGGCATTAATTAATTGTACATATACATTATTGGTAGCGGAATCCATTCTTAAATTACTTAAGTGATGTTAAGGGTATCTTTAGATACCTTTGATATTTTTGTCATTGCTATCGTTGTTGTTGTATAAACAATATAATTTAAATCATTTCATTTAAAGTTTAACTCTTAAAGTAAATTAGGTTTGGAAATTGTAAAAGTAAATATTAACGTATTAATGATGTGATTAGAGTTTTGATTTTGAATCAATACAAACTACCGGTATCCACTTCAAAATGTATTTATCATGAAACGATATTTGGATATGCAATTAATTTCTTGGCAAAGAGATAGGTATATATCTCATTCACTAATAAATACATTGCTCTATTATTTCATTGGGTAGGTAGGGGCTTTCTCCTTTTGAAGAATTATTCAAATAATAATCCTCCTTATTGCCACCGTAAAAGTTCATTTGAGAAAGGCAATTAAAAATATGTATGCAGTAGAAAATTTCTTGTAATGGAATAAGATTAACAACAAATTATAAGAAGTGACATGGTAGCCAAATTCTGAAAGATTGACAAGTTGAACTGAATTAAAATTATTAGGATAACTAACCGATCCTATTTATTTATGTACACCCAATTTGTCTTCAAACAATTTTTTTTTAGTTATTTCATTCTCTATTTCAAAGTCTAACATTTAAGGCCTTGTTTGATCCCCATTCTTTCAAAAAATTACATTCTTCCCTGTTTGGTACACATTAATATAAAAATGAGAATGAAAAATATAGCTGTTACGGGCACACATAAGAGATAGAAAGTCAAATATGATGGTTTGATGTGATGAATAACGGTCATATTTTTCATTTTAATGGGCAAAAAATGGAAAATAAACGGCGGCTTAAACAGTGATTTGACATTATTTCAACCGCATATTTTTCAATAAAATAATATTACACGCAAGTCCAAAATTTTTTCTTTTTTTAACCAGATATTTCTCATCATTATACTACTCAAAAATACATTCTTAAAAAATTAATGTGACTCGAACAAGGGCTAAATAAGTTTGTTTCTTTGTTAAGTAATAAGAAGTCACTTTTTAATTATTTTCTGCAAATGCGTAGATGTTCCCGAATTTTTCTTTCGATGCACAAGTGGTCCCTAATAATTTGTGTTTTTGAATGAACAAGCTTAAACCACGACACAATTGGGATGCACAACCTTTACAAAAGAATAATGTTGTTCATAGTCGCTCACTGCGATAACTGCCCTCCGTGACATCTTACATGGGGGTTTGTAATTTGATATATTAATGTGATAGTTTTTCTTGCCTCATATATCAAATCACCAACCACCACATGTATGTCACATAAGGGGATACTATGACAGTGAGTAACTGCAAATAGATTATCCTTTAAAAAAGGTACAAATAGGTGGGTCCAATACCCTTATTTTTTAATTTTTTTTAACTTTTTTTTTTTGGTAAAAAAGTAAAGAATACTAACACTTTCTTTTATTTTTATTTTAAATTAACGATCTTGATCCTAAAATATTGTTTTTTTTTTTTTTGAGATATTCATTTATTAAATACAAACATTATAGCTCTAACTATATTCCTCATATTTTAACTTATTATGTCATTGTCATTAGACAAATCAATCAATAAACGCATAAATCGTAAATTATTTATTATTTGGATTTTTTATGTAAACAAAATCATGATAAGACGGATTGAATATTATAAAATTATATGTGATGCTACCAAAAATTGTATTTATTGATTTTCGAGCTTGGTAACTGAGAGTGAGCACGAACAAGATTTTTCGGTTCCTGAAATAAAGGCGTCAAGTAGTGTCATCGTCACCTCTTCGATGCTTAAGTTAGAGAGAGAATTTATACGTTAGTTTATAAACTGGAAAATAAAGTAAAAGCAAACCTGATTAATGAACTTTGGCCATGTGTTTATAAATGTTGGCAACAGAGTTCTAAAAAGATCCAACTACCTGTAACCGTTATCGTTATCATGCAAGGTGTTTTTGTTATATTGGAAGTGTTTTGTTTGAGTTTGAATCGAATCTTGATAGGTAAGTAATTTGGATGAGGATAAAGGTCATAGAGAATTATAGTTAAAGTGTGATTGATGTTTTCTAGAAGATGCGAGATAAGAATTTCGTTTTCATGACGTATGGCCCGACCTGAATAGGTCCGACTAGGTTCAGGGAGCTCGACGTTGGTGCTTGGATATATGAGAAGTGGTAAGATCGGGCTTTGAAGTTCGAGATTGGGCTTAATGACATTTGCGAACATCAATGTCATTTTGATATTTATTTGTTATAAATTTATTCAATTTTCACATGTCAAAAAGCAATCACATACACAAAAGCACGATAATTTAGCTTTTTTCCCGTTCTACGAATTTTAATTTACATGAATAAAATGATATAATTAGTACGCTAATTTAAATATTGCTCAATAAAGGTTTGGGAACCATTTGTACTTTTCCCAAAATTAGGAATTTAGCTGCAATATTTCTTAATTAAAATCAAAGACACATTCGTCCTTTCTAAATATAAAAGAACGATCCATCGTGAACCAAGCACATAGGTCTAAAAAAATAAGAATTTTTAGTTAAAACTAATTTTAATTTTAATGGCATATTCACAACTAATGTCAGTTTATTATTCACACATTTTATGAAGCTCATTACTCTTTTCATTATAATAAAGAGATTGATTATAATGATATTATAATGAAACCAATCAATCAATTATTATTTGATAAAGTGAATTAGACAATTAGAAATTTAAATATTTATATTAAGAGGTAATATTATTTATTTTTATTAAACATGATCGATGGCCTGTTGGGAATCTACTTATACATGCACAGCGGAATTTAAAATATATTTCGATTCCCATCCAATAGATCTCATTGTGTTTGGTTAGGAATTGTGATAGGATTGTACCTTTTCCAGATCTGCAATCCTTTTGCTTTTCTTTTGTTCCACAACTTTGATTCGCCACCACAGCTGTCCAATTGTCCAGCCTCCAACGGTGATCCACACAGAGAATTTGATTGCAGCCTCTAGGGTTTTCTCTTGTGCTAGCAAGAATAATGAAAACCTTAATGGACCTCAAACCCTAGTTATATATTTATATAAACCCAAATAGGCTCGGCCCGGTCCGGTCCAATAATTAATTAATCCAATTAATTAAACCCGGTCCGTGAATCAATTAATCCAATTAATTAATTCGAAAATATAAATAACAAATCCAATTAATTAATTTATCCAACGATTGTTAAATTAACTAATTGGCAATTTGCAATCTTCCAATTCTCTTTTGTGTGTGACCCATTAGGTTCCCGACCACGATGCCTAACGACGTGAAATATTATTTTGATCTAATCAAAATTGATAAATTAAAACACCCTTTTAATTTATCGTCAATTCA